CCCCAAAACCCCAAAACCCCAAAACCCCGGTTAATTACAATAAGTGAGAATTGAAGTAAATTTAAAATTACTAAATTTAAAATTAAATTTTCTAAAGTTAATTCGCAATATGGATTTCATACCTTAGCGAGAATTCTTCCACCCAGAGGTACAATCTAAAATGAAAAGGAAGCGTACCTCAGAAAATGTAAGATACTTGTTTTTAAATTCGAAAATAGGTATTTATAAGCAGCTATGCATATTCACCTAGAGACTAATTTTTATTTGTTGGTCTAACAAGTGGAAAAATTTGCTATTGGAAGAAAAAAAATATGGAACAAAAGTATTTAGTTGACAGAGGCAAAGATCCTGAATTAGTTGAATTAGAAACCCCACAGCATCATAAGGTAAATTATACTTGTCTAAAATGCTTTAGGGAGATGTGAAATGCCTGATCTATGCTAAAATTGAAGGATTAGACATACTGATCAGTGGTAGTGCTGATCGAACCATCAAATTATGGGAACCCAAAAATACTAAAAGTAACCCCTGTTTTTAAACTATAATTGGCCATGGAGGATCAATTATAAGCATGGCTCTAATTCAGAAAGTTCAACTTCTAATTACATCTAGTACTGATAGAACGATGAGAATATGGAGGTATCTTAATGTAAATGTAATAATCTTTATCTAGAGTTGATAAAGCAAGATAGCTGTTGATGTATCCATGGTTTGTGCCTCTTTAAATTGTCAAGGATTTCACTTCTATCAATGCCTCTCTCATTGATAACAGTGTTTGGGTCTAATGCTTTGATATTAAAGAAGGTGAAAATCTAGGTATTTTCGCTGGTGATTCAGAGGGATCAATGCTTATCTTCAGAGCACCAGAAGACTGGAGAAATGATTGTGTATTTGAATTAGCAAAGAAAACACCCTCAATTCATAGAATCGGTATCATTCAAGTCTTATTAGTAGTTTAAGCTAACTTCGTCTTTACAATTAGTTTTGATCAGTAGCTTAAAGGATTTGATGCAACAAACGGTAGTGAGTTCTTTTGCATTAAGAATCCCAACAAGACAGTCTACACATCAATATTCTGGGATAATCAGTTTCAGGAATTGTACATTGCTGATGAATGTGGTTATATTTGGGTATTAAATGTATATATGGAGAAGCCTTTAATCTAAAAGAAGATAGTGGATGAAAAGATAAAAAAGATAGAAATTATGGAGGACACAAGATCTTTACTTATTCACACTGACTATGGGGTAAGGGCTTATAAAGTTAAGAGAGGATAAAAATCGCAAGATATGCTTGGCCATCAAGGACCTATTTTAAAAATTATCACTCTTGAACCATAGAAGCTAGAGAAGATAACTAGAGAAAGAATTCCAGATGATCCTAAGATTATAACTTGCAGTTTAGATAATACGATCAGACTTTGGGATGCAAAGGAGATGGCTTTAGTTACAGTAATGGAAAGTCCTGAATATAGTGAGATATCTTGCATGACTTTCCTCATTAATTGCTGTCTTGTAGCTACTGGGCATGAGGATGGAGCTATAAGATTATGGAATATGGAGATTAATTCAAGTGTGACTTTGAAATGTGATGAAAAAAGTAAACATCAAAACAGTATTAGTTGTATATTGGGAATCTATCATAACGATAGTGAATTCCTTGTTTGTGGAAGCTATGATGGAAAAGTTTCAATCTGGGAAATTTCAGAAAAGAGATCAACAGCTTAGAATTCTATGCTTAGTAGTACCATATTCCCACAACTCAAGACTGTTATCGACAACACTAAGACTCCAACAGCTGGAAAGTATGATGCTTCAGAAATTCTTTGCTTATCTTTCTATTCAGATGACTAGCTTGATCCTTCAATGGGACTGATGAAATCTTCTACTAAAAACTTTGCATCTTAGCATGCTCTGCAGAAAGAAGGATATGTCCTTGTTGGTGGAAATAATAAGAGTGTTAATATTTGGAATATCAGGACATATGAGTTCGTTGGATCATTGCAAGAGCATTCAGATTCAGTAACTTGCATGGCTAATGATGGTAAAATGCTTTTCACTGGAAGTGATGATATGACTATCGGAGTGTGGGAAATGGACAATCGATTCTTAGTTGGTAGACTAGAGGGTCACAAAGACAGTAAGTTTATTAATCTCATTATATTCTATATAGGCATACAAGACTTATTGATTCTCTCTGAAAATGGTCTGCTTATCTCATGCTCTTATGATAAGTCAATTATAGTTTGGAAGTATTAGCACAAACAAATTATTGAAAGATTTGAAAAGACGGAAGAGCTCAGATGTATGGACTATCTCTCATCGACCAAGACACTGTTTGTTGGAACAAACTAGAAATCAATATTGACTATTAACATAGAAAAATTACTTGACCCACTTATCAGACAGCTTGATTTCAGACGCTTAGGTGAGGATGGAGAATTTAACCTAGATGAGGAGTTAGAACTTCATGGTTATCAACCAGGAGTTAATATTCAAGATTTGCTGAGCAATGGTGCTGAGATAAATAACATTGAGGACATGGCAAAGATAGAAAGACTGCTATAAGAATTGAAGATGAAGGATGAAAGAGATAGAGATGGTGATTTTGATACTAGAACCGAATACTTAGATGAGCAAGAAGCAAAGAATGATGAAGATTTAAGGATGCTTCTCCAAGAGTAGGAACGTATTCTTAAACAAGATAAAGATAGAAAGTTCAAGTGAAAGTAATTGAAATAATTACGGCCATTCACTTATTCATTTATCTGTTAGTTAATTGTAATCATTTAAGCTTTAAACTTAATAATACTATTGTTATACTATTTTATAAAATAATTATACTTAAATTATAAAAATTCTGATAAAAAAATAAAGTAAATAATGGCAAACAGATAACTAGAGAGAGCAGACGATAATGTACCTGACAACTCAAGAAATTTGGAAGCATGCAAAGATTGTAAAATAATTTTGTCATCCAATCAATGGAGAAGTATAAAATCTTGTCCTAATTGTGGTGATGTAACACCTGAGACTACTTCTAATTTTGGAGGAATGGTATCAGTGATGGACTCCAAGCATAGTTGGGTGGCAAGGTACAATGAATTCTAAGGGTTGGTACCCGGAATCTATGCTATTCAGTTGCAAGACTAGCAACATAACCCTGAAAGCAAAGAAAACTCTTACGAGAGAGAAGAACTAAATGAAGATTCGTACGACTGATAGAATTTAAACTTTGAATATACAAATGATTATGCATTTTGAAGTGAATTTATATAAATTTTGGTAAAGTCATTTCTAATGTTGCCAACAAATTAAGAATTACGGGGTTTTGGGGTTTTGGGG